TATATCTGTGTGTGTGTGTTTGTGTGCGTATATACCAATATATTATACTATATTTGGCGTGGACGAAGAATTATACTCATATCGTACGCTGGCGCCTTTTTGGCAATAATCATGCGAATTGAAGGGTATGATCGCGCGGGAGTAATTTTGATGACATCCCTTTGTCATTGATGTTTTATTGCCGTGTTATCAGCACAGTGCTTCACGATGCCGAATAATCACAAGTTCGCTCACAAATTCACTGCTCTCCTAATCCAGTGGACCAAAGTCATCTCTATGTACTAATCGACTTCCCATGAAAGGTCGGAGTCCTTCGCCAAGTCCTCCCGTCAAATATGGGCCGCAACAGGCCCAGCAACAAACCAATGCCAAAGCGCTCTCTAGTTCACCTGTCACGGCCAGTTCACTACCGAAGACCAAGTCACCAACACCACCGCAGAGAGGCAGTGTGCCAGGTGGGGTCGCCAAGAAGCCCGCGCCAACTGCACCTGTTCCGCGTGCGAGTTTCTTAGGGGAGAAAGGCATTAAAGGTACCAACGAGAAGAACAGCAACGCAGGCGGTGGTGCTGGATACTTTTCTCACTCCGGGAAAGGGGGTGGAAACCCATCTGCCGACCTGAGCTTTCGGGGGGGTGCAAGAGTGTCATATATGAGCAATGCACCGTCGTCAACCACGAAAGCCTCTGCGTCTGTGGCCACTGCCGGTATGTCGCCAGGCAATGATGTCGGTAACTCGATGCTTGGTAACCTCAATAGGCCGTCTACGCTGGTTAACGCAACCTCCGAGAATACAGCTGCTGGATTAGCGGGAGATGCCAACGATACCAGGCAAATCGCAGCGGAACGGGGGTTTAGCAAATCACGCGCGGATTCATCAAAGTTATCTATGGGTAAACGAAATGAATCAACTCGAAACGATGACAGGACACACGATGAGAGTGACGAGAATATAGACGAGTCGGAAAAGTCGAGCAAGAATCAGCGAGTGTACAAGCGTGGCCCCAATAGGTCGAAATCTAAAAGGGTGAGGGAACTGACCACCTACGAATGTTATCACTCAATCTCCTTGGTCTCTATTTCTACTGCTAGAATGCTCCTTCGATATGTCATGTTTTTGTACCTCGTACTTACACATTAGATCTGGTTGGTATCGTCTCGATAAGCATTCTTATGGATTTCCAGGTTTGATAGTGGTGTGATGTGAAGCTATCTTGTTTTTAAACATATGGACTGTTATTGGAATCTCTATGTAGATTCATCGGGCTACAGATAGACCATTGATATTCGAGTTTATTTCATTCTTCCACTACATTAGTCTTACGAAGCTTTATTCGAAGGGGAGGACGACGACGACGTTAATTATGATGATGATGACGTTGTGAACACCCCTGATGCTGAAACCCGGCCAAGCGAGAAGGAAGTGGAAGAAAAAACGACGATAGAAAACGGTCGGTCTACTACGAATATGGTAAGCTGTTGAGAAATATCAGCGAGAGCAACAAAGGCATATACCGATTTCGCCTTGGCATTATTGAAAGTTCCCGTAGACCCAAGGTAGACGTCATGTTCTTTGTGTCATGCTGTCTGATTATCCTCGCCTCGGCCATTAGCAGCACCTCATGCATTTCACTTATTCGTCTCAGAAACCCAAGTCAGCCGCTAAACGGAAGGCGGAACCCATCACAAGTAAAGTGAGAACCAAGACCCTCAAACCAGCCAATGATAGTGATACTACTGGCGATGAAAACAGTGCCAGCGAGGGTGAAGATAGTGATCCTGACGTGAAGCGCAACCGAAAAAGGAGGAAATTTTCTGGGGCTGCTTCAGGCGACCACGTGAAAATGGGTACGTCGACTGCGAGCGGCGCACAGCTGATGCAAGTCAAAGAATCGTCAGCAAAATCGAACGATGACACTGAGTATGTGACACGCTGATGTTGCAATTTAGCTGCTCATCCGTGGTTTATGTGACATCATTGATAGTATATACTGGGTCGTGGTACATGATAATAGGAAAATAAGATTTCAAGCGTTGCAAGCCGTCTGTCCATATGGCTGAATACATGCCGCCATCCCGGTATACTCTATTTGACACTACTATAACTACAACCTTCGTGTACCTACACGAGGTATTAACCACTTGCTGTTTACATCTCTATTAAATTCTCACCCAGGGATGCTTCTCCAAGTCCAAAGAAAAGGATAGGTCCAAAATCGCGAACTAAAAAGCGGAGGATACTCACCAGTGATGTATGTCCAAGTGAACAAACCATGGATTTATCAGCAAAAGCTGAGCGTACTATCTTACTCCTGGAGTTTAAAGTGTGTTTCAATGCAAAGCCCTCATTCACTAGATATAAAGTTAAAAAACCGCAATACTATGTCTGCAAATTCACGCAAAACTACACAATGGTGTATCAATTAGGACGAGGAAAGTGACAATGAAACGGCGCGTGCATCCAATGCAGAGGAAAGCGATAGTGACAGCGAGAGTGATGGACCTCAAGAGTTCGACTTTTGTGAATTATGTGGAAAGGATAGCGACGTCAAAGGAAACAAAATTGTTGTGTGCGATGGCTGTAATAAGGTATGTCTGGAGATCAATCTAATTGTTAACTTCAGTGGGCAAATAAGAATCGTAGTTGTCTATGAGGTCGCCTCTTTGAATGTCAAATCTAATCTTAGACTACAATATACACACTCAGGGTTTCCATCAAAAGTGTCATAAGCCAGCTGTCCCGAATGAGCTGCTAAGTGAAGCATACGAGGATGAGGACTGGTTTTGCTCGAAGAAAAAGTGTCAGGTGAGTGGCTAATGTCCTACTACTGTGATTCTGTGTCTTGAAAATCTATCAAACTCCTCTCTATTATTGCAAGCAAACACGTTGATGGTGACTCAAAGGTAAAGTAATCGCTTTTGAAATTATTGGTGAATTAATGAACACAAAAGTAATCGCTTTTGAAATTATTGGTGAATCAATATAATTGGCGCTATCTTTGTGGCATAGTAGGTCTTAATTTATTCGTCCATTTTTGTTGGGATGCAGATGGCATACCGCAACCATGTTACACGCGTGGTTCCCGACCACTCGATATCAGCTTGATAAAAAATGTAGTAGTATCTGGCGATTCCTTCACGCACTTAAATTAAATGGCTTGTGACTATGAATATATGTCCTTCTTGATTGCCCACTAACTTGGCATTGCTATCGCTTTTCACACCCCACGACCGTCCACATATGATCCACCGTAAAATAGAAGGAGCGAGCTGCTCAGGAGGAGGAATAGGCTGTAAAGAGTAGGCTCCTTCATCACAATCGCGCGACTACTGCGACAAAGCAACCTACTCCGGGGCAAACCTACATGATGGTATGGTGCGTTTAGAAGTGCTTTGTAGTCTAGTGGCCATGCAGAGCGCATCTTGTACCGTTCTCGCTGTACAACCGCAATACAAAGCAGCTCGGAAGGACGCTGTCGGAGAAACGGCTCGAGTTCTTTCCTTGAATGCGCCAATCAACCGCTGATTACTACTCGGAACCCTACTGTCGTAGCTTACGAGGATATGTAGATGTGGAAATTGCAATATGGTCTAAACTGGATGGCAACTATAGCGAATATACAGCACTTGCGATCACAGCTGATCCCGGGCCGGCGAAAACGCTCAAGGTTTGAGTTTTCTATGTCATGAGTCAAGGGAGAAGAATCTGATACCGGCTACAGTACAGGTTTCCCAAATATTCGTATGCCGACCTGTTCTCCTCACTATATAAGTCCGTGTGAAACATGAACGCCAACATACTTCGATACATACACAAATCGCGAACAAGTGAACCCCAATGCGCCAGGCGAGCGACAGACCCGAGGCGAAATAATGAGGCCGACGACACGATAACCATAGAAAGCAATCAAGATACATCTCGATACCGTGAGAATAGTTCAATCTTTCTGATTTACGAGTGCGAAGATCATCCTGTGAATGATAAGGCGAGGAAATCGATCAGCAAATCTGGAACGCAAGCAGAGTAGAGCATTCATAGCCGCATGAACTATTTAAAGATGCAACTCTGTGGTCCTAGATGAAATGCCGTGGACACGTGCGCTTTGCTGGTGCCTTGTTGAATCTTTCGTGGAAACGTAGGGAAACACGTGACATTTGCCAGAAAACTCCACAGTAGACGGATCATGTCTATTGATTATGTGACAATCGAACTAACTGAGGCACCATTTTCAAAGCCGCCTTCACACAGCTTCGAGCCAAAATTGTATGGTGGCTGGTTGAGCGTACACAAGCACAGTTTGACATAGATCAGGCAGCTGTCGTGTACAAAGTCAAGGCACTATAAGGAACATTTATGCATAGTGTATGGAGAAGGCCATGCAATTAGATATTTGTCACATGCAGTCGTACTAACCTGTATAGATAAAAGAAGAACATCAACAAATAGAAGGCAAGTTTTCCAAAGCATTCCCGTTTGTGGAATTCGAGATCTCTGAAGATCACCGTTGGATCCAGCGTGTGCTGACCACGTGAACATCTGTAATAGAATAAAATTTGTTCGTTTCTCGTAAATACTTTCAGCAAGACACAAGAAGGGGGGGCTTATATAAAATCGTAATGAAAAGAATAGCTATCATAATTTAACTTGAAAGTGCTTTAGAATACCTGATAGCGTTGTAAGCAGCCAGCGGCAAATTCAATAATAGGCACATCCATTCTCCGGTGAGAAGAAAAATAACCACCAAGGAAGCATGTGCACAGTATTCGGGTACTATTTGCTGTGGAAATAGAACGGTAGAGCGAGAATTAGGGTCAAATTGTCACGTGAAGACTATTCAAGTAAACAGTACTATAAAATTCTGTATCCAAATCATAAGAAATCGATGCATTCATGCTCGGATGCCGTAGGCAGATATCGTAAATGTAGCATGAACCTGTGTATCGCTGATTGTATGAGGATATTCGA